TATATATATATGATATTTTAATATTAAAATATAATAGTTGATTTGATCTGTTGATCAAGCCCTTTGAAACTGAATTATATTTTTAAAAAATGCAAAAGAGTTGGAGCAACTTATTATATTTTGTTGAAAGATTAACTAGACAAGGCGAGTAGCGTATAAATAGTACATTTTGATTTCATATAATAATTTTAGTGTCTGTTTCCCTTAACTCTTTGTTGTCTTGCAGAAAGACATTGTGAACCAGTATAAGTGCGGAGCCGATTTTCTCCCATCTCCGTTGGCCAGTCGACAGGAGTTTGCCTTGAAGGCCAATCCGGTCTTCATCAGGCAGAACCTGCTGACTGCAGTGGCCGTGGCTGTCGAGAATGATCACACTGTTGCTTTTCTGGGACACAATGCCGGAGAGGTGATCAAGGTGAGATAAGCTTTGTTAAATTAGAAAAACTACATTCACACGGTGCTCAAACCCTCATCCAGAGGTGCTATAGTCCTTAGCGTTGATGTGCTTCGCCACTTTGTGGGAATATAAGTGGGAATGTATTCATAGTTATATAAGAATAACACTACAGAATGACATTTGAATGTGAACTATAAACAACTGGTTTATTGGAATAGTCCATGTACCATGTGCTCACCCTGATGTTGTTTCACATCTGAATGAGTTTTTCTTCTCTGTAACACATGAGCATAAAAGTTAAATGGCATAAAAGTGCCCCTATTATGCCATTTTTAATGTTCCTAATATTGTTTTGGAGTCTCCTACAATAGGATTATGCATGCAAAAGGTCAAAAAATGCTTTTGTTTTCTCAAAATATGCATTTAATATCACCAATATATCCAGCAATGAACTCCCCAAGATTTGAGAAGTCGTCGTCAATAAAATGATGGGAACATAAAAAAGATTGGGGTTGTACTGCTGTGAATATTAACCACTGGTTCTTTGCAGCCTCATCTTTCAGAAGTGAAAGTTACTTTCACAGCGTAGGTCACAGCGTCTTCGCAACATGATGTTAACCACATGAACAAGCTGCAGTGTTTGAGGGCAGGTCAAGTTGTTCGCGGCCGGCCAACGTAGAACATAGATGGGTATTATGCAAATATTACACACTGCATGAAAGGCAATATTCGAAATGGCATAATAGGGGCACTTTAATTATTTTTAATACAAAGAAATTGAATGAGAATAACTGCTGCCAAGCTTTAAAATGATAAAAAACATCATAAAACTGTTATAAAAGTTGACTTACAGTATGCACTATATTCTCACGTCTCCTGGAGTCATATAATAGTTTTTTTGAGAGGAAAAGATCAACATTTAAGTCGTTATTGAGTGGAAATCTTCTCCTTTGTTCATCCTGGAAGTATATTAGCAATGTTAATGAGTTAGATCTTTTCACTGAATCATTTGATTCACTTCACAGAACTACTCTTAAGTGATTCATTAATGAATCAAACTGATTCACTTCTCGACTTCAACCAATTATCAGTGAAAATTTTTTATTTTATTTTTTTTTTTACACACAAAGGTATGACTTCAGAGGACTTTAAACATTTAAGCAAAAGTCATACTACATTTACAATTTTATGACAACTTGGTGTCTTTTTGAAGCTTGAAAGCATCAGTTCATTTATGTAGTATTACATGGAAAAGTACGACCAGCACAGTATTCAAAATTTCTCCTTTCATTCTCCAAAAAAGAAAGTCATACTGGTTTGAAACAACATGAAGACAAGTAAATGACACAATACTCATTTTTGAGTGAAGTAACCCTTTAACTAACTTTTCCTCAAAGTATAAATAGCCCAAAAATTGACAGCCCGTAGGAGGACGGCGAAAAAGAGGCCTTGTTAAGGAAGTGTTGAGGAAACAAGCATCTCCAGAAATTTGAGACAACCAATTAGTGAACTGCTACAACCAGCTAGCTACCTGGTGTCACACACCTGATTTAGCATGCGCGTCACAAAGCTGGAGTTTAGGATTTGGCAGGTGAGGGAATTGGAGGGTGAACGTGGTGAATCTCTGACAGAGGGATGAAAGAGAAAAAGATATTACTGTCAACGAAGCGAGACACAACTAAACACGTTAGACGATATATTAGAAATAATGAACCTCTCGCTCCACGTGAGCCCAATTCGTACGTCCCAATAAAAGGGCTTTGTTAGAGCTGATTATTTGTTGGATAGACAGATGAAATGGAGCGATAGATGGATAAAAACTGTCCAGATGGAGGTTTTTGTGAGTGTCCTGCCACAGTTTTATGGTCATTATGTGGCTTGTAGGCTATTAGTTGGGGGTTGACAGGTTGTCAGGTGCGGCTCAGGTGCGTGGGACACGCTGAGGGGGTTTTGTGTGGTCTGTAAATATGACAGATGTGTCCTGTCCTGTGCTGGACTGTTTAATTGTGGGTTTCTCTGTGTCTATTGTTCTCTCTTTACCCAGGTACATTTGTCAAGCCATCCAGAGGCGTACAACCCGGGTCCGGGCTACAAAACCAGCGGCTACGTAAATAAGAACCTTTTCTTTGACAAAACCCAGGCGCACTTGTACATCACCACCGAGAAAAAGGTACGGGGCTGGAGTCATTTATCATAGACTCTTTGAATATCACCGCCTCGACCTCAGGAAACGCATGATTGCGACTATTCCAGTGGCTTTTATTGTTACGGCTCCTGCTGGTGCTGAAATATACGTTATTATTTTTTAAAGGCATCAATATAGTGCACGTCTTGCTGAGCTTATGACCTGACGGTGGTGTAATTGCAGTGTTTACAAGGCGGTGATGTATTGAAATCCTTCATGCTTTGCTGTTTGTCGTCTTCTCAGTGATTTTCTGCAATTAATTCCGCTTGAATTGAGTAACATACAGGCTTCATTTAGATCAGTTCATTTCAGTATAAACGTATTTACTTTTCAAAAAAACTACTTTGTGTGGTTTTGACTATTGTCTCTTTGGGACCTTTTAAAATCTACTGAATTGTGATTGGTTTTGCGTTGCATCCTTTAGATGCACCCTAGCTCTAATGAGTGCAACTTTATTTGAATCATTTCATTATTTTGTGGTCGTGCAGATCACAAAGGTGCCTCTACAGGCCTGCCATCTGAAGTTGGACTGCCAGTCGTGCGTCGCTCAGAGAGATCCGTACTGTGGCTGGTGTGTCCTGGAGGGAAGGTACCCATATGTTTTTGACTTAAAATTGTGCATTTGTCTTAAGTTTTACTAAGTTTGAATCCAGAATATATATATATATATATA